AACAATCAATACGAAACTAACGATTTTAAATTGGCTCACCACTTTAGTAGCCTATTGGTCCCAAGCAAAACGATTAACGTACCCTATTTTAGTTGAAATTCTATTACTACACTATGTTTGTTTTGATTCGCTATGAAAGTTTGACAGATAACATCAGGGGTGTGTGGATTCATGCAGAACATGCAGGGGTGAGTGAAATAGCTTGGGACTGCTTGGGACCGTTGTTCTGGTACTGAGTGAGCCAAAAATAATAATGATTTTCTTCGGGACCCAGTGGTCTTAGAGTTACCTCTATGGGACAACTGCATTCAATCTGTTCATCCAATTCATTCTATTCAAACCATCCTAATGATGGGTTCGGAACAGTTGGTCGAATACGACAGCACTCCTACAATGTCCAACCTAATTTACGAAGGGTATACACTCAGGTCTTTTTTTACACGGGGGATACGGTCCGTGTAAAAAAAAACCGTGTAAAAAAAAACCTACGAGATTTTGATTTTTCGCATGCTTAAATGTTTTTAAAAAATCGGATTTTGATGCCATTTGTAATTAAAACATGATATGGTCCATATAGACATATTTTAAAAACTTCTGTATTTACACCAAAAATTGCGATTTTTTTTTTAAGTATGCCATTCGATTACAAATAGCTTGAAACGGATAATGTGATTGGAATCAAGTCGATAGGTTGTATCGTTGTCGAGAAATCGTTAAAAACGTACCGTGTAAATCGTGGAAAACCGTGTAAAAAAAACCGTGTAAAAAAAAACCGCGTAAAAAAAAACCGTGTAAAAAAAGACTTCAGTGTATAATAGAAATTGCTTTTGTACTGATTTCTAAACATTATTTTCAAAAGTTTTCCTCAGGGTAAAGAATCGCTTTTTAATTTGTTTTTGCAAATTCCGCCAGATAATTTCTATGCCATGATCACGTGTTCTTTGATATTGCCTCCAACGGAAATTTTTCAAACGGATGAAGAGCTGAAGATCATCGTTTATTATAATTGAATCTCGCATTTTGGTACTGAGGCAGCATCTTTGGTTTGCAAAGGAATATTTCGATCGAAGTTATATTCCACAAATATTCGATATTGCTTCCAATCGGCTCTATGGTAATTCAAAGTAGAGTTGTTGGGATTAGATATTAATTCTTGAGATATTTCACTGTAAGGTGATCAGAACTGAAGTCAGCACGGGTAACCAATTGGCTATAAAGTTGACATGAATCAGTTAAGACCAAATCAATAGTTGAGTGATTTCTTGCTGAAGAAAACTATATTGGGCTGTTTGGATATTGAATGGTGTAATAAACTGTAGAACATCATCAAACAGAATACTACCAACAATCAATACGAAACTAACGATTTTAAATTGGCTCACCACTTTAGTAGCCTATTGGTCCCAAGCAAACGATTAACGTACCCTATTCTAGTCGAAATTCTAGTACTACGCAATGTTTGTTTTGATTCGCTATGAAAGTTTGACAGATAAAATGAGGGGTTATTGGTTTTTCCTACACACTAAGATTTTTTTGCCGAGATGGGCACCACCGAGCAGCTCGGCATTTTATTTTGCTGGAAATTCAGCAAAAAATATGTTTGTTAGCTGAGATCTCGGCAAAATTCCCGTTTGTTAGCTGAATCTCGCAAGTTTTTCACCGAGATCCAGCAAAATAAAATGCCGAGCTGCTCGGTGGTGCCCATCTCGGCGAAAAAATCTAAGTGTGTATGTTTCGAGAGGTGAATCGATTAGCTTGGGACCGAAGAGAGTACCAGAGCTGAGCCAAAAAGTTGAGCACGTTATTTCGGGACCTTCTAGTCTTAGAGTTACCTCTATGATACTACCATAGAGGTAACTCTAAGACCAGAAGGTCCCGAAGAAACGAGCTCAATTTTTTGACTCAGCTCTGGTACTATCTTCGGTCCCAAGCTAATAGATGCACCCCTTGAAACATAGGAAAATCCACGAACCCCTCATTTTATCTGTCAAACTTTCATAGTGAATCAAAACAAACATAGTGTAGTGCTGGAATTTCGACTAGAATGGGGTGCGTTAATCGATTTGCTTGCGACCAATAGGCTAGTCAAGTAGTGAGCCAATTTAAAATCGTTAGTTTTGTATTGATTGTTGATACTACTATTGGAATTGCTTTGACATTATTCCATGAGCGGTTTTTTTGCATTAAAATCTCAAAAAAAAAGAAGAATTTAGACCTATGACGGGTCGGTTTCTGAAGGTCATCCTTGAGAAATTAAGATTAACCGACTTTGCTCGGGTAGATAGCTCCATTTACTTTCTGGACATTGCTAACAGCAGGAATAGATGAAGAATTTGAAGTAGGGGAGCCGTTTGTACCTACCGGGAACGAATGTAGAATTTCTTACTGTGCTGTTGTTAGCAGCAGAGGAATTTGTACCTGGTCGGGAACGTGGAGCGTTTCCTATCTGTCATTCAGAACGAGATTGTAGGATCTCTTTGCGAGTCTTACATTCCCAAAAATTGGGACATTTGAACATTCAAATTACTTAGGATATTCCTTCACAGGACAGTCCTCCTTTGCGTGAGAGGAATTACCACAGCTCATGCATTTTACTGGCACGTAGCAATTTTTTGTCCCTTGACCCCATCACTGACACTTACGGCACTGGGTGAGGCTTTGGAAATTTCCTCCAGTTTTCCCACTTCACTCCGCTAGCTTTTTCTAAGACCTTAAGGTTGTCTAGTTCACTAGACTTGAAGTGAACTAAATAAAAATCATTAGAAATTCCGTTGCATTAATCGCCAGGACGTTATTTAATTTTTATGTTGACTACTTGGATTGGGTCAACTCTAAGTAATTTTGCCAATTCATCTTTGATCTGATTCAGGGATTCATCACTGGGCATTTCGATTGAAGATGAACCAATACAACAATTCAATCAATTCTGTGTAAACGAATTCTCACATGACCATAATTTGAAGAGCCCCTTGCTCATTCGAAGCTCATTGTCACTGTCAATTGAGTCACTCACTATCATTTGATATACGACAGTCGGATCAATGTAAGGCTAATTTAAGGTCGATGTTGACCCAATTTCGTGTTGTTGTTGGGTCAATTTTGGGTTTATGTCGAGTCAATGTCGGGTCAACATCGGATTGGGGCTTGGTAGAAGTCAGTTTGGTGTCGGGTTGGCTTAGGTTTTTCGCCGGAATGTCGACCAGAGCTCCGTTTATGTGTAGGTTACACTCAATTGAATAATATATATAGCGGTTCTCGAATGATAATGATCCATGCCTTCATCAAATAACTAAGCAACTGATATCACCCATTCGAAGGAGGTCCCCTTTGATAGCGAATAGCTTTTTTTCTTATTTTCATCAAAAATGTTCAGATGATTTTGAGAATTTACAGCACTGCTGGGCAGACCTTTCAAGACAACCTTGAACAGACCTTCCGTGTTGGTGTCGTAAGTAAAAAAAAAGTGCTGTTTCTCGATAAGATACTTTTCCTGCTTGACATTAAGTGGAATTTTTCATGTATGATGCATCATTCTCATCATCCGTGAGCATATTATCAACAATCAATACGAAACTAACGATTTTAAATTGGCTCACTACTTGACTAGCCTATTGGTCAAGCAAACGATTAACGTACCCCATTCTAGTAGAAATTCTAGTACTACGCAATGTTTGTTTCGATTAGCTATGAAAGTTTGACAGATAAAATGAGGGGTTATTGGTTTCTCCTATGTTTCGAGGGGTGAATCGATTAGCTTGGGACCGAAGAGAGTACCAGAGCTGAGCCAAAAAGTTGAGTACGTTATTTCGGGACCTTCTAGTCTTAGAGTTACCTCTATGATATTATTATTTTTACTCAAATTACTCACATAAATTTCATCAGAAATTGCCATTTTGTTTTGCGTTTAGGCACCATGGCGGCAGTAAAATGTTGGTAAAACCATAGAGGTAACTATAAGACCAGAAGGTCCCAAAGAAACCTACTCAACTTTTTGTACTCTCTTCGGTCCCAAGCTAATCGATGTACCCCTTGAAACATGGGAAAATCCACGAACCCCTCATTTTATCTGTCAAACTTTCATAGCGAATCAAAACAAACATAGGGTAGTACTAGAATTTCGACTAGAATGGGTACGCTTATAGATGTTCTTGGGACCAATAGGCTAGTCAGCCAATTTAAATCGTTAGTTTCCACTGGCTGGTAAAAAGTTTCTCCAAATCGAGTTCCAAGCAGGATTACCACGGGTAGGGCCCAAACAAGGATCGAAGAGGAATAAGAGTCAAAAAATGAAGAAAATTTGCAGGTAATGTTGAGCACTGAATAGTGCTGTTTAATATTGTTGTAGCTTTAGGTAGCAGTAACACTTCCTTAAGCAAAAAGCAAATAGATCCTCACGGCATCCGCTTCTTCAGTTAAAAAATAACTTACTCTGCCTGTAATCAACTAAATTTGTTTGTAAGGTGGTACACTACCTTCACAGTGTCCATGTAAGAAACCTTAATTATTAAAAAAAAACATTATCGTTGAAACACCCACCAAACAAAAGCTTAGGCTCGCCCCTTTCATATGACTCTAGTATCGAAATGTTCTAATTTTATTTTATTTTTTCGTATTTTTGCAGTATAAATCACGTTCAAAAACTAATTTTTCAAGCCCAAAACAAGAGAAGTAAAATTAACCCCGATATAAGATTTTGAAACTAACCTCAAATGAAACAGGATCACATAAGAATTCGTTTGGTGGGTGTTTTCAGCGATACTGTTTTTTTTTATAATAATATTGTTTTGTCAGAGACACTGTGGTATAAAAGGAATTTGGCCAACTACAAGTTTACGCTTGCTCAAATTACCGCAATGTGAAGCGTGCATTAGTGCGTACAATGCAAAATTTGATTTATTTAACGACTAAGCTGGAAGGCGAAAAAATGTGTGTTAGTATGTAACTCGTCATTCGTTTGAAGCGCGTGATGGCTGCATTTTTTATTACATGTTGTACTTTAACTTGTTTAGCGCACATTGTAAGGCCCTTGAAGATTGAGGTGCGAAAGTAACCACCGCTGAATTTTCAGAGCGCTATAAGCGTAGAACTATGCAGCTTATATCACCAACCGAAAAGTCATTAGACTCTGTGAGTGCCAAAGGCAACCAATCTGAAGGCAGAGACGGTTTGCATCTATATTTGCCACCGAGTTGCCTATCATCCTCTACTTGTTCAAGTAACAATGATGTATTCTATGAGCTGGATCATTTGAATACCGAATCTGATTCGGATATCGAATATATCAAAGGAGACGTTACGCTAGTGGATGATATCGATGCTAGTATCAGCCAGCCCATTAATGAGGCACAACAGATGTTGTTACAAGTTGTTGGAGTTTTACGAACTGAAGAGGTTTGTTTCATGGTTTGCATATATGTGAATTGCACTTTTATTGTTTACTTAATCATGTTTGATTATGTTGCATTTTTTTTTCTCTTTTTTCCAGAAAATGCGCCAATTCCAGAAGGTACTGGAAGATCTGAGCTCCCGTGTTGCATCAGCTGAAACATTGACTCAATCGTGGACTTCACCCAGTACAGCCACTGATGCCGCAGATCAACTGCAACATCTTCAACGTTTAAAAGACAAAATGACCACCGCTGGGGCACTGTTGGATGACTGCAATGAGCAGCAGAGTTTCTTCACGGCGAATCATGTTCTTGTTCCTAATCAATGTCTAGCCAAATTAGAAGATTTGAACACTCGGTATGTATTACAAAATTGTAATTCAATCTTCATAAGTTTGGTAAATACATTTGTTAATGCTATTTTGTGACAGAATGAAATTGCTTCATATCGCTATGGATGAACGGCACAAAATATTGGTAGCGAATGGAGCTAAACAGCCCTTTGCAGCAGATCCAGATGGCAACAAATCAACACATGGCATAAGCACCGGTACCATTGGCCCTATCCCGAATTTAGCTACTAGTGTTAAACCGCCATGGGAAAGAGCAACGACTCCAGCCAATGTGCCTTACTATATCAAGTACGTACGGATCTATTGTTGCCTAGTGACATTTGTTCAAGCTTCATAATGCTTATCTTTTTCACAGTCACGAGAGAGAAAATACACATTGGGACCACCCGGAAATGATCGAACTAATGAAATCATTAGCTGATTTGAACGAAGTTCGGTTCTCAGCATATAGAACGGCCCTAAAATTACGTACCGTACAGACAAGATTAGGTTATACATTTTCCTTAGTAAACTTTTCCTGCATGTTCTTCTAAAATATTTTCATTTGTTCAGCTTTCGACCGCCTAGCAATGAACGTTGCCATAGAATCATTCGATCGTCATGGTCTACGGGCACAAAACGACAAATTAATAGACATACCGGATATGACGACGGTCTTGCACTCGTTGTATGTAACAATTGGAACAATCGATATGTCGTTGATGCTCGATTTAGCCATTAACTGGATTCTCAACGTGTACGACTCACAGCGAACTGGTCAGATACGTGTTCTTAGTTTTAAGGCAAGCTGAATTTATTGAATTTTGTTGTTTATTCAACTAATGCGTTGTTTTTTTGTTGCAGGTTGGCCTAATTTTGCTCTGCAAAGGGCACTTAGAGGAAAAATATCGTTACTTATTCCGGTTGATTGCGGATCTTGAGAAAAAAGTGGATCAACGCAAGTTGGGACTGTTATTGCATGACTGCATACAAGTGCCCCGTCAATTGGGTGAAGTAGCAGCGTTTGGTGGATCAAATATTGAACCATCTGTGCGATCATGTTTTGAGCGAGCCGGTGTTAACCAAAACGGTGAATTAACGGAGACGGCTGTTGAAGCACAACATTTTCTGAACTGGTTGCAACACGAACCACAAAGTTTGGTGTGGCTTCCGGTTCTACACCGCTTAGTAGCAGCAGAGACTGCAAAGCATCAAGCGAAATGCAACATTTGTAAGGAGTATCCAATTGTTGGATTTAGATATAGATGTTTGAAATGCTTCAATTTCGATATGTGTCAAAGATGTTTCTTTTTGGGACGCAATGCTAAAAATCACAAATTATCACACCCGATGCATGAATATTGTACCACGGTAGGTCAACATCACCTTCACAATTCGTTCCGAAATCAACCCCTTTTCGCCCAAAGAGTGTTACTGTTACTTTCAAAACCAATACCCATGACGGAAGTTTCATAAATGATTGGATATTAAGAATGCTATTGCATTAAATTATAACAAAGACTTTACTTACCTGTTTGCAAAAAATCAATATAATTTAAGGGACTAATTGTGCCAGTTTTGGCATTTGTTGTGCTCTAATTGATCCCATCTTAAATTCTCGTTTTTAATTCTTTACTAATTAATTTCGATCCAAGGCAAGAACATTTATCTACCATTATCAATGCAAAGAAAATCAGGACAATTTTAGGGCCTAATTCAAATAAGAAATACTAGAGTAGACTGGCCCACAAAAATAAAAGTTCTAATCATCCGAATGAGCTGAAATTTTCACAGAGTGGTTTTCTTATCTAATGACACAAATCTGGGGGTTGGCCCGTTGAAAAAAAATATAAAAAAAAATCTCCCATATAAATGTGGGCCAGTCTAATATAGAGCACTAGTGAAAAAACTAGCAGTTTTATTCTAGCTCATTTGGTCGTTGATTTAAAATCGAATTGTGGAATCCTTTGTTGTAATATTTTTGTCATAATTTAGACTGCATATATTTCTTTCTAAAATATTTAGACCACTTCAACCGAAGATGTCCGTGACTTTACTAGAGCACTTCGCAACAAATTCAAAAGTAGGAAATATTTTAAAAAGCATCCTCGTGTCGGTTACTTACCAGTACAAAGTGTACTGGAAGGTGATGCTTTGGAAAGTCCTGCACCTAGTCCGCAACACGGCACACATACTTTACAAAACGATATGCACTCTCGACTTGAAATGTACGCATCTAGATTGGCTCAAGTCGAGTACGGTACTCGAAGTAATTCGACACCGGATAGTGATGACGAACATCAATTGATTGCGCAATACTGTCAATCGTTACCCAACAATGTTGGACCCAAATCTCCAGTACAAGTTATGGCTGCTATGGATGCAGAACAACGGGAAGAACTAGAAGCCATGATCAAAGATTTAGAAGAAGAAAACGCTTCTTTGCAGGCAGAGTATGAAAGGTTAAGATCCAAGCAGACTCCTATAACTACTCCTGATGAGACACAAATGTCGCAATCTACAGGGTCTGGAGGAAACGTAAGATAATTAACTATTTATTTATTGTGTTTATTATGTTTATTGTTAAAAAGGTGTCTAACTATAATAATTTTTTGTGCAGGATATGATAGCTGAAGCTAAACTATTGAGGCAGCACAAAGGAAGATTGGAAGCAAGAATGCAGATCCTAGAAGATCACAATCGTCAATTGGAAGCACAGCTACAACGATTACGGCAATTACTCGACGAAGTTCGCTTCCTAAATGAATTTTGATATTAGTTTCTTTTATCACTACCTATTCCTTTTCAGCCCAATTCATCCAAAGCTTCTACATTACAAACAAGATCGGTTACTGCATCGCAGCTTAACACAGAGTCACCAGCAAAACTTCAGCAGAATGGTCATTACGATCAAAACTCAAGTAAGCACTTTGATCTTATTTATTCTTTCATAAAAAAACTTGGATTATCGTGAATGTGAACACAGCTAGGGTAACTGCGTCAGGTTTTACTGGTAAAATTTATGTCGTTACATGTTTGGAACATAATTATAATATACATCCACGCTAATAAAATCATGGTAAAATACTTCAAATTAGACTTAGACCCTAAGTTCAAACTCAGGATCTAAAACTGACACACTTACCCTATATAATTGTAAAATTGAATGATTGATCATTAGTAATTAAATAATCATAATTGAAAGAACGGTAGAATATTTTTCAGTGATTCTTAATGAGAACAGTTGCAAAATGAAATATCTATAATCTTTTTGAATCCCCGGCTTAAATACTCGTAGTCCAGCAAAGTTCAAGTACAAATTATTTTAAGTACATTTTTTAATGCATAGGACAAATGATGATGCAAATTATGAGCATTGCCAGAATCTACAGCTGAAATATTACCGGCATTAAAGTCGATGGATCTCAGTTGGTTGTTTACCAATCTTTAAGTAGAGTAAGGTGGGACAGGATGGGTCACGGGGCAAGATGCGTCAGCTAGTACATTTATTACACTGGAGTCGCTTTTTACGCGGGTGATACGTCCCGCGTAAAAAAAAACCGCGTGAAAAAAAAACCGCGTAAATTCCGGAATCCGCGTAAAAAAAACTGCGTAAATTCCGAAATCCGCGTAAAAAAAAAAACGCGTAAAAAAAGACCGTGTAAGAAAAAAACCGCGTAAAAAGCGATATACCGCGTCAATTCTGAAATCCGCGTAAAAAAAAACCGCGTAAATTCCGGAATCCGCGTAAAAAAAAACCGCGTAAACTCCGAAATCCGCGTAAAAAAAAACCGCGTAAAAAAAAACCGTGTAAAAAAAAACCGCGTAAAAAGCGACTCCAGTGTAATTTATTTGTTTGTCAATATCAATAGGTGCAAGCAACCCCAATTATGGTTAGCTTCTTCAAACTACCATTAAGGCTACATGACTCACTTTCCACATGGCCCATCTTGCCAACCTTACTTTACTTATAAACATTGAGTTTATAACATTTTGCCCTGAAACCAACTCACCGAATTTATTTTCACGGGTGGATATTTCGCGAAATGATATTTATAGTGGTAAGCACCGTTATACAAAAAGTTAACGTCAACAACTTTAACGCGTTAACGTTAGAACATTGATAGTACACACTAAGATTATTTCACAGATTTCTGTGAAATTTTACCGAAACATCAACAGCTGAACAATGGTGATTTTTCACAGCTTTCCTGTATTTTTTCACAGAAAATCTGAATGGTTCAGCAATAATAACCGAAAGAAGGCCCGCCAGTGGTGGCGGGAAGGAATACCCCTCACCGCCCCTCTCCAACGAGGGAGTTTGGTAAAGAGAGATGATCAAACCGATTTGTACCTTCCTAAAAGTTGTCCTTGCTCGCTTTCTACTCTTTATATGCAATTTTCACACTGCCGTACTCTGACGGAACTATTAATTCTATACTTTCATCTCCTCATCTATCGTATAAAAATTACCACTTTAGTCTGTTATTTGAAATTAGCATCTTCAACTATATAATAACATGTGTTATTTTTCGGTACTTATCTTACTTAGTGTACGTATCCTTGTTTGTTTCACTTAACTTAACTTAAGGGTCCTGTGCACCACCAGCGGTGCAAAGGGCCAACGTGAAAGACTTCCATCCTGGGCGGCTGCTCGCTTTTGCCTTGACCTGGGCCCAGGTCAGATATTTGTTTCAGGTGGCTCTGGAGTTTTTGTCAAATATTACAACCGCCCTTGGGAGTGTTTGTTTTCTAAAACACGGAAAATTTTGAGATTTTTTTTTTCTTTATAAGCGAGATTCTTAGCACAGTGGCTAGTTCATCTCGTCATTAATTTTGAGAGATATAATGTCCCACATGTAAAAAGTAGGCATCGACAAAATGGCAGTCGAAGTTAGGAGTGTGATTCCCATGTAAATATTTGAAAAATCATAGTAAATTTACATAATTGGAGATGATTAATGTCAGATATCAGCCATAAAATGAAAATGACCACTACGATAGATGAGGAGATGAAAGTATAGAGTTGATAGTTCTGTTAGAGTACGGCAGTGTGAAAATTGTATATAGAGAGTAGAAATCGACCAAAAGTCAATTTTGAGAAAGGTACAGTCGGATATCAAAATAATATCAAAATGTTATCAAATTATGTTTTTGAAATCATATTGATAACATATGAGCATGAGCATGAGCATGATTGACCGCCCACGGTTGCTGCTCTGTTATTGCCAGACCAGCTGTAATTACACAGAGAACCAATAGACGATGCTTGGGACTAGCAATCATCCTCAATGTGTAAAAACTAGTGATCTCAAACTAGGCAATACCAGCGCCGGCCGCGCCCGAACACATGTCAAGAAAGGAAGGGGTAGGAATGTGTTGACGTGACACTCGCTTTGATGGAAGCCGAGAACACTTCTGCACTTCCACGAGGAATCACTGGGATATTGGGTAATAGGGTTGGGTTTGCAGCAGGGCTCGTTTTGGTAAACGATAAGCTGAATTGATGTCCTAACCATCATATAACGCGAAGGAGCTTGGGATTGAACCCACGGTCTTCTGCTCAGTAAACAAAAACGTTTGCCACTAGGCTGACGAGCTCTTTTTTAATCATTGACTAATCTTGAATGTGGATGGGCTTGAGATTAGACTCATGATGTTCTGCTCAGTAAGCAAAAACGGTTGCTCTAAGGCCACCGAGCCCCTCATATCACATTATAGCGTTACTCAAGTTTTTATAACTATTCAAACCTAGCACCGACGAAAACAAATTTTTTTACTTATACACGATAAACAAGTATAGGATTTAATTAAAACGAATTTATTTGCTTCCGTATTCGATCGTAGCTAGCTTAACAATGTCTGCCTCGAGTGGGAGGCTATTACTCAGACACTGAACTGAAATGTGTGAGGGGTATGAAAATGGAAATGAGGGGTAATAACTCCATAATAACTACACTGAATGTTTTCTCTTCTACAGCTCGGCCATCCTGCGGAACTTTTCTCCCACTGATACCTAGTCCCTATGCTGCGTTACAAATGATTGTTTGATCTTCGTTTTCCAGTCGTTATGCTATTCAAATTCATGTTCGTCCTGAAATAGATAAAAGCTAGCGTTAATCCTCTCTATCACTGCTTTCGGATTCAACTTCTTGATCTACATCCGAACTACTACCAGCTTCATGTGACTTATACATTCGCATATTCTGTGGATCAAAAATTCCCTCAAAATGTTTCGTCGACACTTGATACCCATCTATATCTGACACAATATATCTATTCTGATCAAGAACCTTTTTCACTCGGTAAGGCCCTTTGAATCGAGGCCTTAGCTTTTTGTTTTCCCCGACTACTGGTACACTTCTAATAACTACCAAATCGTTCTCCTTGAATGTAGTCCTGAGACTTCTACTATCATGACACTTCTTATTGTAATCCTGCACTTTTCGTATGCATTCGGCTGCCATGTTCCGTGCATCTTCCAGATTTAGCCGATCAGATGACTCCAGCAGGTCCTGGAAGTATTGAACGGCATCATGGTTAATTTTTCGGTGTTGTTGCACTCCATACAGCAGCTTAGATGGAATCGACCCAGTTCCTCGGTTGATCGAATTGTTGAGAAAATACTCAACATCGATGAGCACAGTATCCCAGGACGTCTTAGAGGACTCAGCAAGTTTAGCCAATACTGGAAGCAGTGTACGATTGTACCTCTCGACTTGGCCATTTGCCTGAGGACATGCTGTTGCTACAAGAGTATGCGAAAATCCATGGGAATCCGCAAATTGCTTGAACGGTTGCGATGTAAAACAAGATCCACGGTCAGTGATAAGGATTCTTGGAGTACTGTAGTTGATGAAATATGATTTCAGATGTTTCATTACTTCTTTGGAGTTGGTTGTTTTTGTTGGGTACAGCTTCACGAACTTTGTGAATCCATCTACCACCGCCAAAATATACTTGTTCTTCCCTTTCGTCATCTCTAGCGGACCCAAATGATCTGCATGTAAAGTCCAAAATGGTCGGTTTCCTTTGGCGATGTTTTGAAGCACACCATCATTTTTCCTTGCCTTTGGATTAAAAAGTATACAGGATATACACTTTTTACAGTGTTCAGCTATTTTTTCTGACATATTTGGAAACCAGAATGCTCGCTTGATCAATTCTATAACTTTATCCTTTCCGAAATGCCCCATTGAGTCGTGGAATCGGTATACAACAGAATCTTCCATTGCTTGAGGCACGTACAATAATAACGGTTTTTCTCCTTTCTGAACAACAAGTTATCTCGAACCTCGTATTTTTTAAGTCTCCATTTGTTGCTGATGCTTTCAATGCGCAGATGACAGGATCTTGAATTTGAGCCACGTACAGAGCGTTCTCGAACGAATTATCTTCATTGATGTCCTTGGCCAAGTCAACTGTGTGAACGTACATCCTTGAAAGGGCGTCGACGTGCTGCATTTGCTCCCCAGAACGATGCACGACCTTGTAGTTGAACTCCTCGAGGAACATGGCCCATCTTGCAATTTTCGAGTTGATATCCTTTTCTCCAGCGTTTGCTTCAGGGATTTACAGTCAGTTACTATTTCAAACGGAATACCAGTAACATAGTGTCTAAAGCGCTTCAACGCATATACTATTGCCAGGGTTTCTAGCTCAAAAGAATGGAGCTTGCTTTCTGCGGAATTTGTTTTACGACTGAAAAACATGACCGGGTGATATTTATTGTCAATCCGTTGACGCTGCATCAAAATACCTCCAAATCCTTGCGATGACGCATCTGTATGCAACTGCGTATCAGTATTTGGAGAATATATGCAAAGCACAGGACGCGATATCAACAACTTTTTAAGCTTTTCTACAGCTTCCAACTGCGGTGCTCCCAAAAAATACTCAGCATCTTTCTTAAGAAGATCGT